ATAATTATTTCAAACTCTTAATCATTTTTTTTTTCTCTCGATCGGGCTAAAAGATCCCATCACAATTATTATTATTATCAGATGTGACAATAAAATTCTATACTTTTATGTAATAATAAATAATAAAGATTGCTGATGAATGATTTTCTTTTGTTAGACCCTCACACCCGTATTTAAGATTTAGAATTCTTTCCACAAAACATACATGTCCATTCGAAACTGACTTTATTTTGGGTTTAATCATTGGTATAGCATCTTTTGAGTCAACTAACACCTTATCAGTTTGAGATACATTTTTCTTCTTTCATAAGAAACTGGTCTCTAAATTTTAGTGTTTAAATATAATTAATTAAAATTTTGATTTTTATTAATTACTTGAAAAATATCCTTTTTTCCTAATAATTCTCCATGTAAAAAAAAAAAATGCATGTCCATTCTTAATCCTTCTGCACATAATTAATTAACTCGTGCATAAAACAAATAAAGATGTAGATACCCTAACATTGCTTTTTCACATAATTATCTAATTTAGACAATATGGCGAAAAAAAAAAAACTAATTTTGGCAATAACTTTCTCCGCTCCATAACCTTAACATAATCAATAACAAAAATTAATTTGTCTCCACTACAACCTTAACGTAATCAATAAAAAAAACTTAATTTGTCTCTAAAACAGCCAGTGGGATACCTTTACCTTAACATTCTTCTCCTTTATGGTATCCAAGCTGGGTTTCCATCCTTTACAGGAAATTTGCCTACTCATGTATTCCGGCCTCCCTTCCAAACTCTCCGGCAAAAACTCCACCACCGACTCAACCTCCTCATTCCTCTCTCGCCCGTTCTCCCGCGGCGGTGATAACCTCTGCATTTTCTCTGCAGGACCAGTAGTACAAATCCCTGCAAATAAAGGAAGAAACTTCCGCGATGAAAAAAGTGACTTCGACCGGAGCAAAGTGGTCGCACTCAAAAGAACACAACGAGCTTCCTCCGACGACAATGCAGCCGGCTTCCCTCGCTTTAAAGGAAGCATCAAGTAAACCTTCCCCATGTCCAGCTTCTTATCCGCTGGTAAAGGAGTCGGCTTTTTTTCAGCCACCGCCGAGTGGAACTCCACCACCACCTGTTGTGGATGCTCTAGCATCAGCTCCGCCACAGTTAATGTCCCATCAAATTCCTGCACCGTCCCATCCCCCAAGACAACCTTCCCAGTACCACTTTCGGACCGGCGGCCATATGACATATAATTCCCCATAAAACTATTCTATCTATTTTACAATCTGGATTGTACAATAAAAAAAAAAAAAGTACTCTATTAATCAGGGAAAACGAACAGGTGACTCGAGCTGAACTAGCTAAGATGATTGAAATCAACTACCTCCAACACAGGAAATATGAGTTTCAATCATGTGAATGGGATTAAGGAGGAAGGAGTGGCGGTGGTGGTATTTTAAGGAGGAATGAGGGGGAAAGGGGTTCGTTAAACGGCTCCATCTTGTGATGGAAATAATGGTGGACTCGGTAATATCTTAAAGCATGGGATGGTTGGCTTTTTCTGGCTCTCTGTCTCTGACCTTCTCCAGCTAAGATGGACGGTGATAAGAGCCTAGGGGAAGTGGGATCCATGTACATACAAATAGTGACTAGAAAGTCAAGGAACCGTTCAACTGTAACTATACATTAACTAATGCATTTTATCTCAAAGTTACGTACCACTTGATCTAAGAACTAAATTTAGTTGGACCGCTTCTTGTCTGAACATGAAAATTTGGGAATATGAAAATTCAAGAAGAGGTGTGATTTAAACCGAGTCTTCAAGTCTAATAATTTGTTCTTAAACTTTAGTATATGGGTTTAATTGATCAAGAATTTGATTATCATCAACTACTTGAAAAAATCTCTTATCCTCCCATAATTCCCCATGTCTAAAAAATAAAAACAAAAAAGTAATTTAATTGGTTGAGAGTTTCACTCCCACTAATTACTTAACAAAATCCCCTATTCTCTCATAATTCTTCATGTTAAAAAAAAAAAAGAGAAAAAAAAGAAGAGGTGTGATTTAACCATTATCTAAAGAATTATGATTTAATTTATTAAAAAGTTTACATTTTACTTTATTAATTTAGTTTTCATTCTAATTTCGCTCACTACCGAAAAAAAAAAAAGAAGAAGATATTTTGTGATGATAAAATTAGTCACAAAAACTCAAATTTTAGATATAAATTTAATTTATGACAAAAAAAAAATATGAGTTTTTATTAACAATCTTTCATCACAAAATGTCCATTTTCTTATAGTAGCTTAAGTTCCCTAAATCGAGCATCAATTATTATTTACTTTTGATCAAATAAGTTAAAAAATTAATTTTGAGTTGGTTCAAAAAAGCTTTCATTGCTAAAAAAATTATAATTTAACTATTTAAGACCAGTTCATGCCACTGGCTGTTTCTCAGTTCTAGAATCCGCGGTCATGAGGTTGCGGGGATATGGACACAAACTATTGACTAAATCAAGCTAACATGCAGTGTTCATATTAGTATGATGAAAATTTAATGACCCTGTTAAACTTGAAAGTCTTAGTTAGTTAATTAATTTAGGTGGCGATCGGGTTTAGTGTAAATGGAAATAATCACGTTTATAGAAGATGCCAAGGGAAAATAATGATTGCGGGAGGCTGGATCATTAGAAGATGGTGACTACTTAACGCTTAATTAGTATATTATTTCGTTAATTTTTTTGTTTATATGAAAATGAAGTTTCCTATCTATGATAAACAAATCCAAGGCAGGTACGAGAAAGTCTTCTGCATAAGCAATAAATGATTCCGAAGAACGGATCATCTCCATCTCCTACTTAACGCTTAATTATGTTCAATATATTAGATATTAGAGTTTATTAAATGGATTTCAAAAAAATTAAGAAAAAAATATTTTGATATTACGTCTTTTTATTAGAGTATTACATGAAAAGATTAAAATACATTTATTTTTAATTTAAAAATAAGTTGCTTTAGATTTTTTAGTAAGAATTTATTAAAATTATGTAGTTTTTGTGTTTTTTTAAACAAATTTTTGTAAAGATCTAATTGATAAATTAATTTCCCTAATGTATATAATCGATTCGAATCCCTCAAGATAATTTACTAAGCTTTTCTGGGCCCCAAGTCTAACAATTATCGGGTTTAATTGGGATAATACCCAAACTTCTTAAAAGAAATAGACTTCTAGGCCCATGACCCATTTGTTCTATCAAATGTATCTTCTTCTT